CCCTAGGAAGTATTTTTAGAAGACATTTCATTGCTATGCAGATGACACACAGCTTTATCTGCCCCTGAACCCAGATGAACCCAGATGAGCACAGGTATATCTTTAAGACATAAAGGCCGGGATGACCTGAGGTTATTGTTCATGGTTCTAAAAAAGATCTTTATGTAAAATCTGAAATATCTAATAAATATGTTGTGTAACCCACTTTAAAATTAGGCTTTAAGCTTTCCTTTTTGATCAAGGTTATAGTTAGGACTGGATCAAGTGACCATAAACCCTTCCTTAATTACACAGCAATAGGCCTAGGCTGCTGGGGAGCTTACCATGATGCACCAAGCATTTTCTTCACCCATCTCTTTCCACTCTCCGTTTACACACCACTATTGTATTTAATCAGCAGTATTTATTAAAAGCTCTGTCTCCCATTGTCTTTTGTCCTGTCTCTCTCTCTGCTCTCTCCCCTTTCTCCTCAATCCCAACGATCATGGCACATGGCTGCCCCTCCTTAAGCATGGTTCTCCCAGAGGTTTGTTCCTGTAAAAAATGAGCTTTTCCCTCCCAGTGTCACAAAGTGCTTGCTCATACAGGGTGATCTGAATGTTGGGGTTTCTTTCTAAATTTGTAGGGTCTTTACCTTATAGTATAAAGCACCTTAAGCAAACTGCTGTGAATTGGTGTTATAGAAAAAAAGTGATTTGAGAATTGAACTGAATTATGTCAGTTTTTAGGACCACCATAAACATTTGCAGTCTGAATAAGAAAAAACAAACAAACATTTCTTGTTCTTTTTTTTAACATTAACTATTTTATTTATTTACATATATTTACACAAGTACATAATATCTTGATACAGCAGTGATGACGAAATAAAACAAGAAAATAAAAGAGAAGACACAAGTCAACATCTCTCATCAGAAATTGACATTGACATATACAATAAACTGTATGGGTGACAAATTAAAGGTAACACAAATCATTCAAAGATGCTCACAACAACACCTCTTTTTAAAATTCTTCCCCATGATCACAAAAGCCACATGCCATTTCACCTCGCCCACAGCTTATATTATATTATATTAATAGTGCAATTGTTCTTGTAGTACTTGAATGCATGATTTTGTAACATTGTGAAACATAGGTCAAAACAGTCCCCGTGTTTCTGCTTTGAACATCTGTCACCGTTCATGGATCAGAACATGCCGTCGATTTCACCGATTGTGAAATTTAGACCATCTGGCAGATATCAACAACTGAAGCATCAAAACATTAATAACTCCTCAAATGGATCACACGGAGTCTTTCTGTTTGCTGTTTGTTTTATCAGAGGCTAAATGAAGGTTTGCTCCTGCAAACATGTGCTTCAAAAGACTAGGTAGTTATCTTGCCTGCAGGCATCTGCAGCAATAATTCCATTTGATCTGCCGTTCCTCTTTTGTGGAGTGGACATGAGAGACTGAAACAGGGATCATCTTTCCCGGGATGCAAAATCTATTGTTTACAATTTTATAGAACTGATTATGATTAAAAACCACAAACACAACTACAGATGTGTGCAGTTTTAATATAATTAAAGTTGCTATAATGCAAAGTAATTATGTTTTCATACATAATCCCTAATTAAAAAAAGTTTACCCTTTGGAGTGGTGTACAGTAAGAAAAAAAATGCTGGCTTTTTTAAAATAACCATAAGGCACTTGTATCTTTTAACTCAACACAATACTTAACACAACATGCAAAGAGCACAATTTTTAAAAGCACAGGATGGCTTTTATGCACACAAGTAGGCCAACTTTGGCATTCAAACATAATTTCTTATCTTCCACTGAATAACTCAATGCAGTCTATCAGGGAAGACCACCATTTAGAAATACACACACATTAAGTTATTTTTAAAATGTTTTAGATGTATGCTGATTTTAAGAATTATCAAGGCCGGTTTAAAAGTTAAACAAATACTAAAATCACATTTTAATGTGACCTAACATCTTCTGCTGCAATATTTCAGCACTACTGTATTGCATGAATACTTAAATATTTAAAACATTTGTCAGTAAAGCTGAAAAACAGTCTTTGCTCTGTTGTCTAGTGAACCAGGAAAGACAAGTCCCAGCTACAAAGAGCAGCTAACACAGAGGTACACCAAGAAGGGTGGAATGCCCAGAAATATTTTGCATATTGTCTGCAAATGTGATTTAGTAAACAGGCTTGTAGATAATCTGACCAGCCAGCAGTCTGCGCCTCAGCTCCTTCCACAGCAGGCTCCTCTCTCTCTGGGATCCCTTCATGATCCCGCGGTTCTCTTGAGCACGGCGGGACAGGTAGGGGATTACTTCATTGACAGGGCCGTATGGAACGTATTTATAGACTGGAAAACCTGCTTGGCCTGTTTTCAGATAAGAGAAGGAGATTCGGTGTTCACGGTCACCACCATGTGTGAATTTGGTGTCATGACTTGGTGTATAACAGCATGCAGTCGATACATTCTGCTTATAATACAAGAATACATTAAGCTAACAATCGCAAATGAAGTGAACAAACAGAGGGTACCAAGTTGTATTCACACATGCACTGAAGCCCTGAGCTTTCCAGACAACACCTGACAGAGGTGCATGTGGGAACACAAATGACTCGTGTAGTCAGACTGGACATTAAACGGTCTTTAAGTTCACAATCTACGTGATGTCCAACTGTGCCTGTTTCACAATAGTTGAAGTAAGAGTCCTGTGAAATCATGCAAGACCCCAGTTTAAACCAGAATATTTCAAGTTGTGAGCACACAGATGAGCCAAAGTCCTGTTGTGTGCTTGACTGTTCTGCTAACCAACGTAGGGGGAGGGATGGGGAGTGTTAATGTTCAGTGAAAAAAGGTGAAGTAATGAATGGTGCAGAAGAAACTATAAATCAAATTCCTAATAAATTCCTTTTAAATTGCAATAAAACTAATAAATTAAGGTTTTGCAGACCACTAACAATCATGGGACAATGTAGGATCAAGTGAATAAGGCCCCAGTCACACTGGCTTAGAGACCATCCCCCCGACTGATTGTGAGTGAAAGCTGGAGACTGGAGGAAAATAATTGCTACAAGCCGAGCCACACAGGTCTAGAGTGCAGTCAGTGACAGTCGTTATTTGCCTGAAAGTGAAGGACTTTTCCGAGCTGAAGTGAAACTGTAAAATAAAAGCTTTACCTTTTGAAAACTTTTACTTTGAAGGCAAACCTTTTACATTTTTGGTAGGCTTTTAACTACCACTAGGCTACTAGTTGGAGAGTTTTAGTAGACATAAATAAACACCACAGGCAATCCAAGCAATTAGTGGAAGCTTTTTAGTGCAGCACCTTTTTTTTGCAACCAGTTTTACCCAGTGAGAGCCAGCAACCAGGGACCACTCCCAACCAGCCGGGGAATTTCCCCAGCAACCAGTGGTGGTATCATATCCAATATCACGAACAAATCCTGAGCAGTGTGCCCATGTGCACAGTGTCGTATCACGAAACCGCAATAAAAAAAAAAAGAGGGAGGGTTAACCCTCTCAAGGCAGGCGTTGCCGATTTGCAACAGTTAAAAACTAACAACCTGATTACCCCACATACATATTTTATGAGTGTATTTTACTCAGAAGTACCACTGCAGGACTTGGTTGTGCATTAGCAACAAAAAGTTTAATTTGAGCCTGAGAAGGTTAAGTGACACAGAGGTCCGACTCCTCTTTTAGTGAGTTTCTCAGATATAGATATCTCCTTTGTATTGAGGGATTAATCATCTGCAAAATCAAACAAATGACTTAAACAGCAACAGTCTAAAAATATAAAGTTGAAGCAGCTGTTAAAGAAACTGGATAATAAATGTTATGTTCTGTTTGTACAATGATTAATATCATTCACAGGAATAAGACTAGCATTAAACTTCAAAGTGTTTGCTGTCAACATGACCTCAGACAAGGTCAGTGACTGCCTGGATATCGTAGCATTGACATCACTGGGAACAACACTTCAGTGGTACATCTTTGACCACATGACCACACGCCTACATGTCATGTGCCTCGGTGATTTCGCAACACGCAGTTTACTTTAGTGCTGAGTGTAACATACCTAGTGGGAAGCTGATCTGGTCACACATCCCCAGCAGCTGTCCAAAGTAAACTTTATTCTCAGTGGGTGACAGGCCCATTTCATTCATCCTGTAAAAACAAAAAAAGAAAAAAAACCAGAGAAACACATTTTAAAGGACTGTTGCATAATCAGAGGTGGAACATAGTATCCCGCCGCTCTCTGTTAACCCTATAGCTGCTTTGGAGGCTTTACGAGGAATATTTCACTTTGAGCAGTTATACAAGTATGAGTTCAGACTGTTAGGGTTATTCCTTCAGGAATGAAAGCTTTAGGGTATTTGTACATGCTCAAACTAAATCTGAGTTTTGTCTCTGTACATGTAAAGTACTCAAGGACAAAACGTACTTATCGAGGGTGAACTTCACTGTGTCCTCATTGTGAGTTGCAACCATAACATTTGCTTTCCTGCTGTGTTCAATCTCCTCCAGCACATACTCCAAACACCTAAACAAACAGCGGAGCAGATGGTTAGGATTTATGCAATTTCTAGCAGAATCACCAAGCGGCTTGATAAAAATTCAAGACTTACTTATGATACATCCTGTTAGTGGCCTCATAGTCTGGGTTTATTGGATCCTCATATCCAATTTCCTTCGCCCTGGCTCTCTCTTGGTACATGTAGGCTCCGCGAACGAGTTTGGCACCAAAGTACCAACCCTCCCGCCGAGACAGCTCAACATCCAAGGTCACGTTGTCGTAGGCTTCCTAAACGCCATTAACAACACAAACTTAAAAGGGCATCCAAACCTAGCATAAAATAACCACAATTATGCTAATCGTAACATCGGTAGATGCAAAATTGCATGATTAATGTGCACAAAATATTTTGTTTATTTAATATATATAAAAAGCCATATCATTTAAGGAAAAAATGTGGAGAGCTCCTAACTTGTAATTATATCTTCCTCATCACTACAATCACAAGAAAAGTGTCATAATTATCAAATCCTGTTTGTTCTCTTTACACTGCACATAAAGTTTAGAGTGCAGATGAAGATTGCGGTGATCACTTTCAGCACTCTCTGTGGTCAGGTGCCACTATCTGTGTAGGTTCTCAGTCATCCAGGTCACGGTAGTGCAATAAGCTTGGAAAGAAAGGTATTTCTCAGACCTTGTTTCATGTGATGAGGCACATGATTAATAATCTCAAGCGACAACCCACACTAGGGATTATACAACTGGCACTCTCTACCATTTGGTTTTAGGAATGAAGAAGCCGCTTGGATGAGAGGTAAAACATTCTCATGAAGTACAAACATTTTTCTGGTGGTACCTCGGTCCAGGCTAAGGACTCAAGGAGATTATGTATTTCTGAGGTTGTGGAGCTGTTGAAGTTGTTCCCACTGGACTTAAGATCTGTGGACACTGCTTAAGACCCAGTTTACAGATTTTGATCTTGGATGCTGAGATATAAATACATTTCACCTCCTTACTTATGGACAGATTATTGAGGGAGAAATTGGCAATAGTATTGGCAGATTTGGGACTGTTTTTTGTGTGGTAAACAAACTGATGTGCCACAGTTTAGAAAGCACTCTGGAAAAGAAACTTCCTGTTTCTTATAAAACATTGCTTTAACAAAAAAAAAATTTAAAGAATTACTGCAAAATAAAAACACTATCGGTATATTCAGTGTGTTTCGATAGGTTAGTAAGTAGCAACAATCATCACAACACACACTAGTTTGTCAGTCGAGTTCAGCTTCATTGAGAAAACTGCAGTTTCACCTTGAGGTAACACTGGTAGGTGTTGAAAATGACTGGCTTTTCTCTGTTGAATTTCCTCTGCATTTCCAGGGTCAGGCGACTGATAGCTGGTTGGAAGTACGTCTGCTCGGCATCCACCATTAGCCTCACCCCGTTCTCTACAGCATGCTGTAGTGCACAAAAACAATTAGAGAGTAAAAAGCACCATATAAAACCGTGTCCTATCCCTATATTGTTGCCCACACTATTTGCAGGTACAGGTTGCTTAGTGTCCTCACCTTGGCCAGAATATCCACTCTCTGAAGCATTCTCTTCATCTGCCTCTCTTCTTCTTCAGTAAATATATTCAGCAAAGGCTCCAGATGGCCGGTCTATGCAACCAAAACAAAAAAATATTAATCGACTTTATGATTAATATAAAGCCATAAATTCTATCTCCATGTGACTGGCAGGAAAGAGTTCAACATCGGTGCCAGAAACGTTTCCTATATTTGTCAGCTGCCCTCAATTATACTGGTTACATGGCCAATGCGAAATGAGCACTTCCCAAAACAAGTCCCAAAACATGCTATTCTAATGCATTAAAATGTTTTTCTTTTGTGGTGGGAGGGCATAATGTTCCCCCAGGTAGGCAATTTAACTTGTTGCCACAAAGCAATGAAGACTTTATGACAAGGTGAGAAACAAAGCTGTTGCTGTTGTTGGCACTTCATTTTTCCAGTTTTATTGCTCATAGCTGCTGTTTTTAAATCGTTTATTACACCATAAATTTAATAACATAGCTATAGATAAATCATAAATTAGAAAAGCCATGTACAAGAAGCATTTTATCTACTTTAAAAGTTCATAATAATTAACAGAAAAAGGTAGTCATCTTTTTCATTGGCCTTTAAAAGCCTCCAAAGTTTGGATTTGTTGGCTTTATAAGCTTCTAAAATGTGGAAGGTAATGCTGTGACACAGTGAAAATGGAGAGATAAGACAACAAGTGACCAAAGGAGGCCACAAATGAGAAGAAATAACAAGATTAATAGCAGAACAAGTACAAAAAAGTGAGACATTTGATTGTCGAACACAGTTGTATTTCTGTTATCATCAGTAGACATAAAACAGCATAGATTACCTTTACTAAGTTCATATTATCTTAACTGTAACTAACTTGATGCTCTCCTAAAATCCCACCGCAGATTCTTCTTTTAGTAAGGCCAGTAAAGGGTTTGAACAAAAAGTAGTAGGGAAGGCATTAAGGCAAAGGGTGCTTTATGTTTGCGTTCAGTCAAGCATGATAATCTTTTCCACTTCAGTGGAAATGGCTGAACAAACATGGAGTGCCTGGTAACAGCTTCTCTGTGTATTGCACAGGGAATAAGAAACAGCGAAGAGATGAAGCGACACCTGTGATCATTCAAACCAATCAGCTGAAATCCAGTCATTTTTTTCTCCCCCCTCCAAACCACTAAAACGTCATGTGATGATGACTCACCTGAAGGTTTGGCACCATAAGCAGATTTGAAATCTTTGTTGTGTCGTTTATTAAACTGTTCCAGTCCAACAGATCAATTGTTCTAGAAGTAAGACATGAGAATATAAAGCCAAAAAAGAAAAAGCTGAATAAAGGTAAAACTAGAAAGAACTTGGATGAAGAATTATTAAAGTGCAGTTAAAGGAGATTAATTGTGAACAAATGAGTGACTGTCCTACCCAGACAGGCCCAGCTTCTCTCCAGTAAACCAATTCTCTATGTCATCTTTGGCTCCAACACCCAGCTCAGTCAAACTTTCCTACAATGAGAGTACACCTCATTTCATTATTGTTAACCATAAAGGTTGGAACACCTTAAAAATAACAAAAAAAAAAATGACATGAAGACATCATTTGAGCATAAACTTGCATATCACCTTGAGCTGCTCCAGCTCCAGTTTCTGTTCTAAAACCGTCATTTGAGATTTTCCCTGTTGCGCTGAGAGGAAGTTAAAAAACCGTCTCCATTTAACCAGGACTTCGGAAAACTGGAGCTGTTTGAACAGAGGGCAACATATTAATTATCAAGTAACAGCAGTAGTTTTATCCGAGGGTTTGTAATGGGGTTGACTGACCACAAGAGTAGCTTGTTTACAGAAAAAAATCAAACAGTTTAACTATCTTTTAATCTTTGACACTGAGATGTAAAAACTACTTTTTTTACTGATCAAAACTTTGAAGTGATCAAGTAAAAAAAAAAAAAAAGATTTCCTCCTGTAATCAGACTAGCTCTTCTGCTACATTTCTTTGCTAAATTAAGGTCATTTAAGACTTAAGTCTAAACCCTGTGACACTAAGTTTCAGTTAACAATGAATGAATGAAAAACTTTAATCTTACAAGGAACTGTGGACGACCCAGTGCAGTCATTTTGATAGCAGAAAATCCATCATTAGAAGCTCCACCTGAAAGGAAACAACAAACCTCATGTCACTTTTTTTTATTAGATTTTTTTCTTTAAATAAATAATCTACTTTGTTAAATTACTTTTTAAGTATTTATGTTTTACACTATTAAAATGAACCCAAACTGTGCTTAACAAGCAGTTGTACTACTTACCAGAAGCTTTAATGCAGTTTATGAATGTCTCCATTTGCATATCACATTTGGCCTCATCTGCATAGAAGTAAGTTCGTGCACTGATAACTCCCCCGCGCCTGTCTCCAAACTGACGATGGGCCTTGTACTTCTTCTCACGATGATCCGCACCTGAAGTGAGACGCAACTTTAGTGGCTTGTTGCATGAAAAAAAAAAACCTCAAGTTCACCAAGATTTTGATATCCCGACAATTAATAATCAATTCACAGACAAAGGAGATTTAGAGCCTAAACAACACATCATTACTATGTAACTATAATGGTCTATCAAAGGTATCCAGTGCATATTTTGTCCTATATGTTCAAATAAGAACAAGATTTTTGAGGGAATTTAGGATTGTTGTTATTATTATATAGCTCATGATATAGTCTGTGGAGCACATGTAGCAGTGGAGCATCACAGATATAGAGAATGCAGTGCAGAGAAAAGTGGTGTCTTCTTGATAACTTGGTTAATAACTTTGCTAAAAAATTTGTGAAATAGATTCTGAAAACATGGCTGACCAATAACCAATGACCATTTTCCCTTGCTCATAATGCCTGTATGTCTGCATGTACCCAAGCTCTTCCTTAACAGGTGGCCCAATCTGAACGAAACTTTGCATGAATATCGTCACACATGCAACAATTAATAACAACTATATGTATTTTAAAAAATGCCTTAATAAAATGATAAATTTGTTTAAGTTATGAATAAATATTTAATTAGGAATTTGAACTACCCATAGGGCTAGACAATGTAATTCTAACACACACATACTTACATATAAAAATAATATTGACCAAAAGATTAGAAATTAGAAATCATGATTTCTTTACTCTTGCATCAGTGACTGCCCCCAAAGAAGTCAGCGTTATTCGGGACCTAGATAGCATGCAAGATACCTCTTGCATAAAATCCTGGAGGTGCATGTGTTTTATTTTTAAGCTTTGCAGGTGATGTAACTGTAATGGACACAAATATGTTTGTGAAAACCGAGGGAGGAAAAGGAGGCAGTGGAAAATCAGGGATGGTCATTGGAGAGCTCCGACGAATCCGAGAGCCCTGAAGCAACACGATGGCTATAATGCTGCCTTAACTGATTGCATTTGATTTAAAAGGAGCAGTTTTACTGCTATCATTTATCCTACAATGTGAATGGATTATCATCAGAAGGAATTCCATCCTAAAGGGGGGCATTTTTTAGTTTGTTACAATTACTGAGAACACAATAGATATCAAAAACAAGCTTTACTTTATTCATTTAAAACTAGCCACTCTGGTTGCAAATCAATGTGCATGTAACACATAAGCACTTTTAATTCAGCTCCCACAAAGACTGATTTGAAGTAAGTATAAAATAAGTTTGTCTCAGAGTGATCGCCAACAGGTAAATGATACACAAACACATTAAATATCAACCCCTTAAACACTACCCAGCTTCACCCCACAGTGTCTGTTGAACTTGACATTTCAGCCCCCACAAGATCCAGTTATAACCAGTAACATCCTGACTAGACTACATGGAGGCATAACTATGCATACTAAACCACCGAACAGCTGAAGCAGCTGACTAGTCAGCAGCTCAGCCTTGTCAGCTTACTCCACAGCAGTTCTTTAGTCAGAGACGTATGCAAAATAAAATAAAAAATAAAATAAAGCTTGTTAGTTTTGTTTTTTACTGACACACATACCTGGACTTTCTTTCTCTGCCTCAGAAACACATGAACTGTAAAAAAAAAAAAGAGAGAGAGAGAGAGAGAATTGTCATTAGAACAGTAAAAAATTTGTCTCATCTTTGTTTCTTTCAGTCAGATCAATAGCAACTTTTATAACACAGCATACTAACAGTAATAAGACAATGAATAGTGGAAAGTCTGAAAAGTTTCAAAAAGACAGAAGGCTGCATGATGATAAAAGGCACTGTTTCATTCTTTTAACAGTCACAATGAAATCTTATGCAACCGTGACGATGACCTGCTTTTCAAGTTATGTTGCGACGTGAGAGACACATTGGGGAACAAAGGCAAATAACCAAGGTGAACAAAAACTAAACTAAAAACTAAAACTTGATTTGAAAGAACATTTTAGTTAACCAAAATAAAAATCAAAACTAGATTTTTGATTATTTTTTTAAATTAACAGATTTTTTTTTTTTTAGAACTTGTAAAAAAAAAGTACAGAGGAAATATCCTTAGTGTTAGAATCTGTTAGTTAGCATGATGAGGCATCATTGGTCTTTATCAGAAAAAGCAGTTTAGTTCCTCCTGTGTCTGTGTGTTGGGATAGTCCTAAGTAGAGCACTGTGGGTATTTTCAATCACAGAATATTGTGTAACACTTGCTAGTGAGCCTCAATGTGCCTCCTGAAAGCAACTCTCATGGCAACCCATGAGGCCTTTCAATGATGCCCATCTCTGAAAAACTGGCTCAACCAATCAGAGCAGGGAGGCCTGTCTTAGCGAGCCAATAGAGGACAAGCACTGTTGAACTGCCTGAGAATAACACTGACAAATTAGGTTTTGATTATAAAGCATTACATGTTATGACTGGCACTGCTTTGATAAAAAGCCTAACAGAAGCCGTCTGTGAGGTGATAAGATAAGAGGACACTGATATCAAAGTGCAGCCCAGTGGAATAGTTTTGACACTCAAGTAGGACACATAACTTGAACTTAAGTGATAATTTCCAGAGGGACAACTTAGTACAGAGACACAGGCAATGGTCAACCAAGAGCATTTCAAATATCACAACTACGTTTTTTTGATATATGCATATGGTTAGTTAATGTGCCGAAGAGAAGAGGCAAAATGAGAGGAGAGGCTCTAAAACATGAGCTATATGCATGGAGACATAGACCTAAATACTTCTGTGGAAACTAACAGTCAAATTACTCATTTAATTCACTATTAAAGATATCAATACAAATCAGGTAATACACGTACTACAGTTTCTCAGTCTTTTAATGAACTTGTTGTACTAACACTGCTAAAATATCCATTACTGTGATTTTTTTCAGTCCTGGAGCTGCTCTTCCTAGTGTGC